GATGGAGGTGAACACTTATACCAAATAAATACTACATCAATAAATTATATAAACATGTTCACGAGAGCTCTAGTAACGGCGTCTCGTCGTTACACTCATATTAACAGGATCATATGGGACTAAATGATTGTTAAATGGTGATCGAAGGCTTGTGTTTACATTTCATCTAGGCATTTTTGGACTTTCTTTTTTCTTTGCCTCTTTGTTTGCAATCATTTGGGTCATCTTTACGTGCACAATGACCTGTAATATTGTCTTTTATGCTCTGCTTTGGTATTTTTAACTCTGTCATGTCTGTATCGTCCACAGTTGTTTTGGAGACTCAGGAAGCTACAATCGTGTACCTGCCTTACCTCATCACTGTCCAAACCATCACCGACCAGATTGCTGTTTCTGGCTTCAAGGCGTTCGTCAAGTCCAAGCCTCGCCCCCTGCAGCTGTCCCTCAGCGAAATCGGACGTTTAGTTGATTCCCAAAGACCAACTCTCTCTTCACCATCAGAGGCATCAGAGGAGTCAGAAATCTTCATAGACACAACACTTGTTGCGCTCAGGGTAAAGGGCATGCACTGCCGTTCATGTGTGGTCAATATCCAGGACAATATCTCCGTGCTGCCTGGTGTCTCCTCAGTGGAGGTGTCTCTGGAGCAGGAGAAGGCCTCCATCTGTTACGACCCTGTAAAGGTCACCGTGGCTCAGTTGCAGCAGGCCATTGAAGCGCTGCCTCCAGGGAACTTCAAGGCACAGCTCTGGGGCTCCTTGGCCTCTCTCAATCCCACTCTGCCCACTGCTGCCTTAACTCCCCCTCGGCCCGCTCGAGCAACACAGGCCACGCCCGCCGCGCCACAGCCCTGCTTCACCCAGCCTCTAGCATCCACAGTTAATATTCACATCGAGGGCATGACATGCAACTCCTGTGTCCAGTCCATTGAAGGCATGATCTCCCAAAGGAAAGGGGTCACGTCGGCCCAGGTCTCTCTGTCCGAGCACCAGGGGACCTTCGAGTACGATCCACTCCTGACCACACCTGAGGAGCTGAGGGAGGCTGTGGAGGACATGGGCTTTGATGCCTTCCTTCCTGGTGAGAGGAGACATGGTGTGGTTGTTGAGTCAGCTTATTTCTCACATAGTAAAATGGCTCATTTGTATTTGAACTAGAGAATCGCCTGCAGGTAGTCTTAAGTTCAACTTTTAGGATGCTCATCATTCAGTGGGTATTGTTGAGACATTTCCTTTTTCCCCCCCTTGTTTTCTGCAGAGACCAATTCATTGCTTCCTGTACTAAAACCAAGTCTCTCAAAGTCTTCAAATCTATCAAATGTGAAAGATAAGGAGCTAGACGGTGACCTGCAGAAAGAGACTCAGGCACGCAACGGAGACAAAAACGCTAAATGCTTCATCCAGATCGGAGGGATGACCTGTGCTTCCTGTGTGGCAAACATCGAGAGAAACCTAAAGAATGAAACGGGTCTGTAAAAACTGCAAATAAATATTAGATGCCAGATTTAATGTTCTCCACGCATCAGATTCAAAACCACAACACTTCCAAATCAAACAAATCAATCAACACTTCCTCATTCCCATTTGACTTGATCAGCCAATCCAAAGCTAGAACGATTTGACTGATGTAAATGTGAGGAAAACCACAGAGGTAGATTCAGCAGATTATTGGAACTCTTAAAGTCTTTGAAAAAAGTATTTAGACATGCAAGTTATCAACTGTGTAAACATAACCTAACATTAACTCAAACATATAATCTAACATCATTTCTTGGATTGTTATGCTATTTGTTGAATTCATTTTAAATTGTGGTTTGGTATGATTGTTTCCGACTGGTGTGATCCAAACATTTCCACTCATCCAAATGCAATCATTTCCAAAATCCATAACTTATTTGTAATTCATGAGCTGTTATGCTTCAATCTGTATTTTAACTTGTTTAGTTTTTCAACATTTTCACTGAGGTTAAGGATAATTCAAAGCTACATTCTTAAAAAGAAACCGAACAGAAGCTTTGAATGTGAAAAAAACATTCATTTGTATTTCATTAAGCATTAATCGTACTGTGCTGCTTTCAACAGGAACTGAAGGTACATGTTTGAATGTTTTGCAGGTATCCACTCTGTACTGGTAGCACTGATGGCGAGTAAAGCAGAGGTGCGTTATAACCCTGATCTCATCGACCCTGTGAAGATAGCCGAGTGTGTGGAAGAGCTCGGCTTCTCCGCCTCTGTGATGGAGAACTATGAAGGTTCAGATGGAAACCTCGAACTCGTGGTGAGTAAACCTACGGTCGCATTAACATTTTTAGATTTAGATTCAAAAGGAAAAGACACATTCAACTCGGTACATTTATTTGCACGATATCACATCCATAGATAAACATTTCCATCACTAGTGAAGAAGGTCTAAAACCTATTTTTCAGTAGATAAAATAAATGTCTGTTCCTCACTTCATCCCCTCTTTAATATATGTGTCTCCCTTTCCCTTCTTGACTGCTCCTCTCCACCTTCTTTCAGGTCAGGGGAATGACGTGTGCCTCTTGTGTTCACAAGATTGAATCCAGCCTCATGAAAGAAAAGGGGATTATATATGCCTCTGTTGCCTTAGCAACCAACAAAGCACACATTAAGCACGACTCTGAAATTATAGGGCCGCGAGACATCATCAAGCTGATCAAGGTATTAATCCTGTTATTTCAGCATTTGTTCAGTTATTTTTAACGTTTCTTTTTGCGTGCTAACATCATTTATGTAAACCAATACCATTATGAAGGATTTGTTGTATCAATAGTTTGACTGTTAATTGCAGAATCTGGGGTTCGAAGCTTCTTTGGTGAAGAGGGACCGCACTGGCAGTCACCTGGACCACAGCAAAGAGATACGGCAGTAAGTAGCTTTTTTGTGTACACCAAGAACACACACCAGCCCCTATTTGTTTTTCTTTATTTTGGTGATGACTCAACATTCAACAATATGTTTTGCTTATCTCAGGAAAACGTGCATTAACTTACAGAGAGGGCAACACCATCTCTTTATATTCCTCAATGAATTCTGATTATACAAAAACCAGCTTCTCGTACACAAGTTGCATATCGCTTGGACCATTAGTGCCAGGGAAAACTGTAAATTGTGTCAATGGGGAATAATGTTTTGAAAGATAGGTAATATATATTTGAGAATAGCACAAGGTCATGATAAAAATCCTCTTTGTATGTAAACCTTCCTGTACACGCATAAAGACACCATAAGTCTATACAATACATACACAGTCTATAATATCAATTCATTACTTTGACCTTTTTTGGAATGATTTAATCTAAACAGATTCACCACTTAAAGGTGGGGTAGGTAAGTTTGAGAAACCGTCTCGAGTGCGCAAACATTTTAAAATACACAGCCGGAAAAAATCTGCCCCTTCCTTCAGACTTCCTTACAGAGCCCCTCCTCCAACACACACGAACGCACACATGACCAATGAGGGCACGAGATAAGTTTGTGCACAGATGGAAGGCTGACAGGCAGGTAGGCCATCCAGTTATTTTAGCCAGGCCGGCTCAGATGATTGGTCGTACTTTTTACAGTACTACGGCTTCCACAGATGACATTTTTTTATGGATTTTTTGTCAAAGCACTTAAGATATTTATTGCTATCGGGATGTTAAGAGCATTCCATGGAATATAACAAAAAGTGTATCTCGAGCCGGTTTCTCAAACTTACCTACCCCACCTTTAATTTAAATGTGTGATAAAGTCCTAAACCTTGACAAAAGACACTCAAAGCTCTAACATTAGCTTGGCATGTGAAGGAAAAATGACCTGCAGTACAGCCTTAACACTAAACATGACTTTACTTTATGTATATGCAGTGTTTGTGGGTTATTCATCGGAGAAGTGAGATGAAAAGTCTCCATGGACATTTCCTTGCCCCTCTCTAAGGACTGTTAAAACATAGATGACAAAATAAAATGCACAACTGTCTTTGCTCTCTAAGATGGAGGAAATCTTTCCTGGTGAGCTTGGTTTTCTGCGTGCCTGTCATGGGCATGATGACCTACATGATCATCATGGACCACCAGATGAATGTTTCACATCAACACAACGCCACCATGGAAGACCGCAACCACTACCACGCCACCATGTTCCTGGAGAGACAGCTGCTCCCAGGCCTCTCCATCATGAACCTGCTGTCCTTCCTCTTCTGTGTGCCTGTACAGGTAACTCCCCTGCACTCTCTGGACATGTGATTTAAACAGCACAAATATTCAGATTTTGATAAGATGGACTGAAGGTAATGTTTTGGTGAATTCTGTGTTTCCTTTCTTTAGTTTATTGGAGGTCGCTACTTCTACATTCAAGCCTACAAAGCCCTGAAACACCGATCTGCCAACATGGATGTGCTCATAGTGCTGGCTACCTCCATAGCCTTCACCTACTCACTGATTGTCCTCATAGTGGCCATGGTGGAGAAGGCAAGAATCAACCCCATCACCTTCTTCGACACACCGCCGATGCTCTTTGTCTTCATCTCCCTGGGGCGCTGGCTGGAGCAGATAGCCAAGGTTCAGCTCATAATCATTATTCATCTATGACATTAAATGCAAGATCTTAATTTAATGTATAAGTCATTTGGAAATAACCTTCTTCCATCTAGAGCAAGACATCTGAGGCTTTGTCCAAGCTCATGTCCTTACAAGCTACTGAGGCCACGGTGGTGACTCTCAGCAGCGACAAGTCCCTTCTCAGGTACCCTTTGTTCTCTGTGCTCATTTTGTTTAAAGAACCTTTCATATCTTTGTTAGTTTTAGATTACAATACATCTACGCTTTGCAAATTAAACGTCAGTTAAAGGTTTAACGGGAAATAACAAGGACTTCACAAACAATGAAGAATAGCACATAACTCAATCCCAAATGGGATTCAGATGTAATCTGTTTTAATCATTGATTTATTATGGAATTGTCCAATGCTTTTGTGTGAAATAAAAAAAATTTGTTGATTGGCCATCAAAGGGAAATTCAACTGTAAATGTTATTTGTATCTACTACTCAGATTTCAAAAACCCTGCTGAGATAATCAATACTTGTATCAGTTGCCAGTAAAGCAATTGTTTATGCAGTTGTATGGTATACACACCTGGTGCCCAAGAAATACAAGGCACATTTTAAATACAGCACAAAAACACAACTATAAAAACTGTAAAAAGGTCAGTTTATAGAAGTGAAAAGCATTCTAAGAGTTTGGGAGGGTATAAAGGAGTGTCCTTGAGTTTGTTGGTTTATCAAGTGGAAGTCTGAGAATGCTTATAGATTTCAGAAATGGAAACTGTAGATATAAAGGGGTTGGAAGAATCAGGTTCGATGGATTCTTCTTTTAGTTATTTGTTCCTATATAACTGTTTGATGTAAACATCCTATCCAACTTATTGAGTTCATTGTTGTGTTTGACCTTGAAAGTTAACAGCTCATAAAAGAGAAAGTGAGTACAAACTCCTTAGAAGATATATGAAACATTGTCATCAGGTCAAACTGGCACTTCCTGAGGGAAAAAGAGATGCTGCCTTTTCTTGTTCACTATGTCAGTGTTACTCTCAGAATGCTATTGTCTAGTATAGCTCCCAAATACATGTAGAGCTGCCCTTTTTCTATATTCTGTCCATCAATCGCTTTCAGCAGAGAACGTCTTTAAATCAATGCACAGTACCATGGGACATTACCTCTCTGTGCAGGCTCACTGTATGCCTTCATGCTTATTTACTCTAGTGTAAGATATCATTACAGCAGTAGTGTAATGATAGCCTGGCGTTGTACTATCCACAGTGTATCATTTAAAGTGTGTGACGTGGTGTGTTCCAGCGAGGAGCAGGTGGATGTGGAGCTGGTGCAGAGAGGCGATGTGGTGAAAGTGGTTCCTGGAGGGAAGTTTCCAGTCGATGGGCGGGTCATCGAGGGACACTCCATGGCCGACGAGTCTCTGATCACAGGTTGGTCGCAGTGAAGGAATGGATCACGTACCTATTCGATTAAAGGCCCAATATCAGTATTGGTAGGAATAAGATGAAAGTATAAGTATTCAGATAAAGTGAGCCAAGGCAAGAGATTTGACTTGCGTTCTGATTGGTCTCTACAAATGTGTTACTTTTAGCTGTTTATCTTAGTGTGTTATCAGTGTTGACAAAGTTCACTACACTAGTTATTAGCCCTGATTTGTCACATTGTTGACATTCAATCAGAAATGTACTTAAGACTATGAGAAGATAAATTACCATGACTAAGAAACATTTGAGTTAGGGCATATTTTAATGATATTGCCAAACATTCAAGATAGTGGACATAGTATTTTGCATATTCAATCTTTTTAAACAACACATTAACATCATCATGGAACGTTTTTTTCCTTAAGCTTTGAAAGCAAAAAGAGAAATTCTCTGCAGCACCCCAATAACATTTTTAAATCAACTATTCTGCTTCCTGAGATTTGAATATTTCAGAATTCCATATAGCAATTTCAACATAATTGTAATTATTAGTTCAGCGCTCATTTGAGTCCAAGTCTTTGCCAGATGTGGCGCTCCTGTTTCCCGCTGCCCTGCCGTGTTTCCTCACCAGCTGTTGCTCTGACTCCAGGTGAGGCCATGCCGGTGACGAAGAAGCCCGGCAGCTCAGTGATCGCAGGCTCCATTAACCAGAATGGCTCTCTGCTGATCAGCGCTACACATGTTGGCCTGGACACCACGCTGTCTCAGATCGTCAAACTAGTGGAGGAGGCTCAGACTTCAAAGGTGAAATATGTGGTTGGAGATCTGCATGGTGTCTACCTGCTTTGAGGATCATTGCTCAGGTATTTAATTCATGACATTTATTTTTTAGGCTCCCATCCAGCAGTATGCAGATAAGATCAGTGGCTACTTCGTACCCTTCATTGTTGTCATATCTTCACTCACACTGGTCGTCTGGATCTTCATCGGGTTTTTAGACTTCTCTCTGGTGGTGGAGTACTTTCCTGTGAGTCTTATTTAATTATTGTTATCTGACTATACCAAGCTCCTCAGTAAAGCCTCAGGAAATTATTTTGTACAGAATTGAAACATTACAAATGTCACTGCATCTCATTTTGTTCACTATTGCAATTACACTGTCTTATCTCCAGTGATAGTAAAAGTGATTTGTATTTCATTTTAACGGCCCTATTTTTTCCCCTGCAGGGTTACGACAAGAGCATTTCCAGGACAGAGGCAGTGATTCGCTTCGCCTTCCAGGCCTCCATAACGGTGTTGTGCATCGCATGTCCCTGTTCCCTCGGCTTGGCAACCCCGACAGCTGTCATGGTGGGCACAGGGGTTGGTGCCCAGAATGGCATCCTGATAAAGGGAGGAGAGCCACTCGAGATGGCGCATAAGGTGTGTAAATGATCATTTTGTAACACTCATACGTAGTCAGCCAAATGTGTAATGGAACAACTGTCAATTAAACACATTGAAAAGTGGTTCTGGTATCTAAGCTCACAAAACCAAGTGTAAGGTTGCTCTGATTTTAAATACTGCTAAATCGTTTAACATTGATCCCAATGTATATTTGTTTTACCTTAGGTCCAGACAGTGGTGTTTGATAAGACTGGGACAATCACATATGGCGCCCCGAAGGTGATCCAGGTCAAGATAGTTGTGGAGGGGAACAGGATGCCTCGCTCCAGACTGCTGGCCATTGTGGGCACAGCTGAGAACAACAGTGAGCACCCTCTGGGAGCAGCTATCACCAAATACTGCAAACAGGTTGGCTCCTACCTCACATGTAACGCCCACTCAGGAAAATCTGAGATGCTCTACGTGATTGTTAATTTCACTATCAGAAACATCAAGTAAATATGTTCGTCGACAACCTTTTTCCATGACTTTGACAAGACGGCACTTATGTCATCAGCCAACAACCGTGACTAAATCAATGAAAGTGATAACGTAACAAAAAGCAAAGTCTGAAAGATTTAGTTTAAAAATGAAAATCAAAACCCTTTCTCATTTTCCGTTGACTAAAAGTCCGGTTTTTCTCTCGTTTGCTGTGCTGCCATATCAGGACTACAGCAGCATATAGGGGCGCAGTCAGGAGGAAGAATAACTACATTACTAAAGCTAAGGGGTCCAGTGACAACAACTGGGCTTGGGAGAAAGAAATGAGGTGGCATTTTGGCCAGATTTGATTGACTGATCAGTTAAAAAATAATCACGTGACTAAAAAAACACAAGAATGTCATCGCTTTTTTATTGATTATTGATAGAAGATAGAATCGCAGGATGAAGCCCTCTTTAAAGAGCCTGTGACAGCCTCCCAACAACTGTTGTGCAATGAAATATTGGGCTGCTAGTCATCTCGAACCGTCAGTTTAAAAAAGAAGGTGCGATACCGTTCCGATAAATATCAATAATTTCGAACATCGCGGGGAAATTCCTTCGACTGATTTTGAAGTTTTGGGGGAAGCCGGAAGTGACATCAATGCGGGAACGCTTCACTGTGCGGCGAGAGAGCCAAACACGGACAAAGTGTGTTGTCATGCTTAGAAATGGTGAATTACTGAGTTTAGGCACGTTAATAACGTTTTAATGAAGTTGACTACAGTATATTCATATTTGTCAGTGCTTTCATTTCAATTCGGCGAACATAAACATAAATGATCGTGGTGAAGATGATGATTAAATTAGGATTAAAAATCGGTAGTGAGAGCTGCTGAATTTCCTCCCGTCGGATGTGATATAAAAACAAATCGATTATTTTTGTAGTGTCTCAAGTGGATGAAACTACATTTATTAGTGCTTTCATGTCAATTCGGCGAACATATGATACATTAAATGATCGTGAGGATGATGATTTAAAAATCTTTTGTTTGAGCCGGTCTGCATTTCCTGATGAGAAAACAAACCGATGCTTTTTGTAGTTTTAAAGTTGTATTTGAAAGAATATGTCTAAGTTGGATTAAACGTGTGGTTTTTTTAACACTATGTTGGGGAAATTAATGGATAAAATGCACGGATTATTATTATTATTATTATTCCCACTCCGATCGGGACACTAGGTCCACCGTTTCCCCGCAGCGAGGCGCCCCCCATTGACAGTTTACGTGGGCTGGGCTGGGTGCAGTGGCGGACTGGCCATCGGGTCGAATCCCGAATGGGCCGGAACCGAAGTGGGCCGGTCGAGAGTCCCGGGATGATTTTTAGTCTCAGTCCACCACTGGCTACATGACTGTATGATCGCCCATATTGATGCACCTAATTCCTAAACTTCTAACAG